TTTTTTTTTTTCTACATGCTTACGTTATTCAATTCTTTGCAGTACTTTTAGAAAAAACTAAAGCTGTGTGCAAAAGTTTGTTGAAATAACTGTTAAAATAAAACTTTTTTCCTTTGCCTACTATTATATCAACAATTAATAACGTCTTTTACAACTCAAAAAAAAAAAACTGTATATTTTATGCATAAATTAAAATTGTTTTTTTTTTTTTTCTTTTTCGGTTATAAGACATTAAATAAGCCACCAAATTTTGGTATCTATATACCAAAAAACCTTTGTTGTATATTTTATAAGTCTTTATTAACGCTATTTGCAATGCCAATAATAACACTGTATGTTACATTACAGTTTTTATTATTGTGGTATTAAAACAAAAAAGTGATTACGCCTAATGAGTTGAGCAAAAAAAATTTTGTTTCTTTTAATTTTTACAAGATTAATTTCAACCAGTTTGCACTGCAACAACAATCATTTGGGTATCCAACAGATGTCAACAGCGTAACACATTTTGCAGTTTGACAGCATACCGAAAGAACTGATATTAATAATATGGAGCAGTTAATAGATAATTTATTTCTTCCATAGTTCAACTAATTTACTGTTACAAATAAAACAAACAGAATGAAGTATTTTAGAGCTAAATAAAATTTGAAAATAAAAACGACTTTCTTATTCCCATTAATAGCACTTTTTTTTTTCGACAGGTGTTAATTAAATCAGTTTACACAAATCAGAGTGTTCAATTTGTTAAGAGAAAAAAAAAAGCAGCAGAAAAAAAACTGTGAATGTACAGTAACAGTTATTATCACTATCAATTATCAGATACAGCAAAATGTTCACTTACAAATTTCTGCTAAATTTTAACTGCATCAGCCATCAGTGGTGTATTGCCTCCCTGTTTGATAGCTATCAGTTGTTACCCGATTAATACTTGTTTCCTTTTCTAATTGTTTTAGCGCTAAAATAATTTGCTACAATTATGCGGAGAAAAAATTATTACAGTTTATTTGATCAACCAAATGTTCAATTTACTGTACAAAGTCGATATTACGACAAAAGTTTGTTAGTTTTCAGTATAGATATAAATTATAAAACAAAAACAGCCTTTGATGCTACTAACTGCATCAGTAAAATTAAGTCAGCAAAAATTTGTTTCAGCATTCCACGCCTTCGATGCAACATCCGTGCCATGTTTTTCTTGTCCTTTTAAACTCCTCTACATTTGAAAAGATTAGAGCGTTGTGAAAAAATTTTATTAACTACTGATGTAGTGGTGATTTTCCAAGAAAATAAACTCCATATCTTATCACAGAAGTTCGACATAAGTTAAATTCCTGTTTTAAAATGATTATTTGCTCCTATTGCATGAGGATGAGGGAAATATATATATTTATATACATATCTATTAAACTTGTAGTCACTACCTTATGACAAAAAAAGGAACTCTGTTTAAAGTTTTGTCCCTCTAAAATACTAAAGAGAATTTTGAGAAGACAAACTGTTCATAACATTGTACTATCGTTAAACCCTTTGAGCGTATAACGCTATAAAACCGCATCTTTCAATATTACAAGAAAACCCAGAAAGAAAAAGCAAAATGGTAGCAAAGTATAAACATAAGCATACAAATCAACAACTGGACCGGTAAGATTTCTCGAACTACGACGGTTTCCACAGTAATTGATGGTGGCCATCGGGACCTAGTTCTCAATGTTCAACTTAATCCAATGTACAGAAATGGATGATCAACGCCAATGTAGCGGTAGGTCAAAGTTCAGTAAACTGATTTCGCTGTCCCAAAGGTGCGGAACTAGAATCACCCGGTCGACGGTTTGGCTCCAAGTCGAAGGTGCTCAACGCGCTCTGAAAGGTGAACCGCAATAATGATTAGGCACTAATGTGCAATCTGCTTAAATTTATAAAACAGAAATCGTTGAATATAAAGTACGGTGCAAATATGAACTAAAAACGGATTACCTGGACGCATTCACCGTAATTTCGGCCTTGAGTAAGTCCTTCAAACCTTTTATAAGTATAATTTGAGAATGGCCCTTTATCATCTAGCTGCTGCTTAGCCCCCGCTATATCCGGTTTGTACGCAGCTTAAAAAAATTGTTATTGCAGTCACTCAAGTTAGCAAAAATTTCTTTTATAAAGACTACAGAAAACTAAACAACATCAAAATTTAAAAATATAGAACAATTGTTATCTTTTTAATAATAATTCTAGTGAAGAAGTGAACAAGTTTAAGAAAAATTGAAAATAATACGAATGAGCATATCAGCGTCAGGAAATTCATCGAAATTAGATGTGTCATCAATACTTTTAACTTCGATCCGAATAGGGGCCGGCATTTTTCTAAAACATAGAGAATATTACGTAAACCATTACAAGAAGTCACAACAAAACTAGCGTGAAAGAATAATCTCAGAAGATACAACTTTAAAAATTACCTAATACTGATCCAATCGACTCCCTTAAAAAACGGACAGGCTTTAATTTCATCAATTCCGCCATTATGTCCCAAACGATGTTCAGCTTCTGAGCAGAATTTCTTTATTGTCTGTAAGTAATACAAGTAATATACGAGGTTGCCAGAAAATATAAAAGAGAAGCCATAATGCTAACCATTTTAGCATCAACGGATATTGCCATTTCAGGAGGGAAAATAAGTGTCTGTTGCCAGTTGATAACCTTCCTATACGTTTCCTGTGGAGTTTCAGAGCAAAATGGTGGGTATCCTGAGTTATAACCGAAACTTCACCAAAGCTTGAAAAGTGAAACGAACAAAAATACTTGCAAACCACTTACCAATTAACATCTCATACATAATAACCCCCAAAGACCACCAGTCGCAAGATTTTGTGTATCCGTTCGGTTGAAATATTTCGGGAGCGATGTAGTCTGGAGTGCCGACAGTAGAATAGGCCTGAAGTTCATTTGAGTGAAAGGTTTTGAAAATGAATTAGAATCGAAATGAGCAACAAAACCTTCGATCCTGTAGGTAACAATCCAATAACCACAAAAAAAAAAAAAAAGACAAGCCTAAATGACTAGAAAAAAAAAACAAATATAACAGGAAAAGGTCGAAATGATAAATATTTTCTTCGCTAAATAAAGCAACTGCTACCACATTTAATGACCATTGTATTGGCAAAAAATTAAAATTAATAACCATACTATTGCTCTCCGATTTCTTTTCCATGTTTCCGCCTTCCTCTTAGACTCAAAAGGTTTCGTGACAAAATCTTTCGGCAGCTGACTGGGCCAATTTCTGTATAATTCTGTACGATGAATTTTCTTCAGTCCAGTGCAGAGACCAAAATCCGACAATTTCAAGTGGCCCTTAAAAAAAATAATAGAAGACTTCCCGAATACCGACCATGTCGCTAATTTGTCAACATACTTACTTTTGCATCCAGTAAAAGATTGTCTGGTTTTATATCTCGATGAATAAAATTCAAATTATGAATAGCCTGTATAGCCAAAGCTGCCTCCGCAATATAGAACCTCGTTATTTCTTCCGACAGCGTGTCCTTCTTGATCAAAAGAGTCATCATGTCACCTTAAACTAATAAATTAGAAGAGGAATACCAGTCAAACCTAATGTTTCACTGAAGTCATTACGAGCTAATATGGTAATCTTAGAAATTAATCACAAAAAAGAAACTTTAATAAAGAATTAAAACCTCCTGGCAAAAATTCCATGACAAGATAAAGATTAAGTGGGTCTTGGAACGAAAAATACATCTTAACAACCCACTCACAATCTGCTTCAGATAAAATATCGCGTTCTGCTCGAACATGGGCTGTCTACAAATAAAATGTTGTAGGTAATGTCCTAATAAGAAACGAAACTGATAAACTAAATACAGAGACTAAAGCAAAAGAATTTGAAAAACCTACTTGTTCCTTCTCTAACATTTCTGTCTTCTTGAGAATCTTCATTGCATAAACGTGTCCCGTATCGACCTTCTGTACAAGCCTAACCTGTAAAGGAAAAAAAAATTGAAGTTACTTGAATGGTAGTAAAAAGTAATGACTAAAGCAGGCCCAAATAAAGTCACATCCAAAAGATACTTCGTTGTTTTACAGCCATATCAATAAATGAATGAACCATACTTCTCCAAACGCTCCTCTTCCAATAACTTTCAAAGATGTAAAGTCTTCGACAGATAATCTGATTCTTTTTGAACGAAGGTGATCTGTCTCCTTAGCCATATGGATCTTACGCCGTTCTTTCTTTTCCGCTTCAGATAATCCTTCAAAAAAGTGACTCAAAGATGAGAAGAGAAAATAAGCACGTGAAAAAGAAGATTCTACCATCGGCATTCATTTGTTCTTCTAAACGTTTTAATCTGTTTGCTCGTTCTTGATACTGAGAAATAGATTGAGCATAAAAGTTCTCGATAGCAAAACGTGTGCGATTTGCGCGTTCAATGGTATACTGCGATATGTTAGACGCAACTGATGTCCCATTGTGTGAAGCTCCAGTAGATGATGAAGCCATAAACCGATGAAAACAGGTCAAAAAAGTGTTACAGAGAAGACTGTTAAGCAAATGTTGTCCTTTTTCCAGCCTAAAAAAATTCACAGCGACTATCAGTAAATAACCACAATCTCGTAATGAATCAGTATAAATCAGAACCTTTGAACGATGAAAAGAAAAAACCCAATTAGTCCTAGATAACTTCCTCAGTTATCCTAACCTAACGAATTTTTAGTGCTATCAGCAAGAATTTTAACGGTAATTCCGAAAAAAGAGACATTCAGAAGACAAAAGGCTCAATTTCCAAAGGTTTCCTCAAAGAAACACTCTGCAAAGAACTTGGTGAGTGACGGTCACGTTTGAAAATCCAACACAAATAGCAGCTTCCCTCTCCAATGTTACGGCTACTTTAAAAACTACTCGAAGTAATTTCCATAGTTCTATGCGGTGCCGCAGAGAGTGTGTATCTAAATGGATTTTCCAAACCTATCATAAAAGCTACTAAAAAAGAAAAAAAACGAAGATTTCAGTTAGCCCTTCGCTGCACAATCAAAATTTCATGAGGAAAATTGTGTGTTCTAAAAACAACTGATGAATGAATAGCTGTCAAAACTGATGAATGAATAGCTGTCCACAAGTCCATAACTGTTAACTTTTTTTGAAATGACTGTTGTTTAAATCATGAACTTATAACAAACTAATTATGAAAAGTTAGACTATGATCACAGTTTGTTCAAAAACAGATATTTGAAATCATTTACCGCCTTAGTTTTTTATTCCCCCACCAATTTAAAAGAACAAACGCGCCTCATTAACAATTAATGGCACTACCCTTCAGTTGAAACCATTACTTCACCTTTAATAGAAGTGGATGCGAATAACTAATAAAATTTGACTAATTCAGATCTACATCAGTATAACTGTTTTAACAAATGTCACAGAGTGGAAAAATAAAGAGATGAAACTGCCGAAAGCTGATGATTTGAACGACTTGAAATAAATAAACTGATGAAGCAACAAAAAAAAAAAAGGAAACAATAATGATAACGACAAAAACAGAAAACGGAAGAAGTGGAAAAAAGTTCTGAATGGTTATCCGGAAATACACATTACCAACTGTCAGAAGCATTATAATTAGTATTTTCTCTGCTCCCTTTAACCACAAGGTTAAAAACAACAAAAACAGAACAGCTATGTCTAATGGGACTGTGTATCGAAACAACTTTTCTGAAAGGGCAGTTAATTCTGTTTCCTTTTCCCCTCATTCCTACATCAACAATTCACTGAAAAGTACAGTCAAGTTACTATCATCATACAGTGATAATGAGGAAAAACTGCACATACCTGCCTTGAATTCGAACAAATCCAAACTGTGAAGACGTTTTGATGTCGGAAATAAAGAGATGTTTCACTTCTGGAACCGACCAAACGAAGACGAAAAAGTAAAGCAGAAGAAAACAGAAAACTCCAGGAAGAATTGAATATCACATGCAAAAATGAATAGAGGTGGCCAAAATAAAAAAAAAGAGGAATGAATAACCACAAAACTAAGACTTTTTCTTCTTTTCTTCCTCTTCTTCTTCTTCTGTTTCCTTAGATAATCAAAAAATGCTCAGCAACAGAGCAGGACATCCAAAAACTGAGTGAGTAAACACAGGCAACAGCTACTCCTATGTGAATACAAAGTAACGACGCATAGCAGCGACAACAACGACTGACGAAGACTGCAACGACGACAGCGACAACGAGGACAACAACAACAACAACAGCAGTATCAACTCCACCAACAACAACAACACGTTGTCAATGTATACTACCCACCACCCGTTCTGCTTGCGGTCAATTAATACGAACCGAATAACAACGT